AACTAGATTGAAAACAACACTTGAGTGAACTGCAAATTTATTTGTCGACATGTTTCGCCGATTAGATCGGCGTCATCAGGACAAGGTACACAGTAAATGAAATCCCTGAATTACAAAAAAAAAATAAAATCTAAAATTTAACGTCATAATGTAATTTATCTTGTCTATGTTGGTATTGGTATTGGTTACTTATGTATAAATGTAATGGATCAAATAGAATATGTTAATAAAGTTATAAAATTGATATAATCAAGAGTTCAAATGTTATTGTCGACTGTTTTGAACTTGTAAAGATGTTGTAGATACCTCTGACTGATAATTGTGTCTTCCGTTTTTCCTCGGAAGGTTCATCTGTGACTGATAGTAGTGTCTTCCGTTTATCCTCGGAAGGTTCATCTCTGAATGATAATTGTGTCTTCCATTTATCATCGGTAGGTTCTTCTCTGCTTACAATTCCTCACTGGTACTGTCAACTGGTCCCTTGTATCTACTGTAACTATTAATAACTTGGTATACGTCTTCACTTTCTTCAACTAAATAGCCGTAGCTGTTTGTGCTATAATTTGGTGGTCCGATGGTCTTTACATCAATTATATCATCATCAGTCTTACGAGTCGCTGATGTGCAGTTCTTCTCTCAGTGTATCAATGATTGTCTGTACATGTGCAGGTACCTTGTGCGGGTTGACCGGAGTTGAAACTATTTTGAGGGTGCTGATACTACTTTAAATGTTGGTGTCAATTCATTTTTTAGCGGGCTTCTAATGGTGGAGTCTATTTTAATACTGGTTTAGCTGTGGCATTTGGTGTTGCAGTTTTTTCACTTAAGTCTGTTCCTGGGGTTTCTTGGTGTTTGGTCATTATGTGTTTCTTTGTTGCATATTTCCTGGTAAAATTAGCCGGGCAGTAGAGATTCGAAGATTGTTACCGTCGGTTCAATGAAGCTGAAATGGTGTTTACGTAGTGTGCTAATATTAGCAAACTTCTTGTCATATTTAAGGCATATTAATTCTGGTCTTTAATTGTTTACCCCCTGAATGAAAAGTAAAATAGCAAAAATACCGAACTCCAAGAAAAATCCAAAACAGGAAAGTCCATTTTCAATGGGAAAATCAAAAGCTCAAAGACACCAATAGAACGTATAACAACTGTCATATTCCCGACTCGATACAGGCATTTACTTATGTAGAAAATGGTGTATTAAACCTGGTTTTGAAGCTAGCTTAGCCTCTCACTCGCATATAATTCCTTTACAGTGGCAACAATGAGTGAGCAAAACAAACAGACATAATAGGTAAAACTGTCAAAAATTGGGATACAGCAGTCACCGTTGTGTTCTAATCTCAACCGTTATAGAAACAGACAACTATGTCAAAAAAGAAAAACAAAATAGCACATAGTCACTATAGACAAGGCACATAAGCAAAAATGAAAGACAAAAATACAAAAAATGACTATAGCACAACACAATGGCGGGATGTTCAAATAACGAGCCACGTCAAGATATTACCAAACATGGACTAAACAGACAAGGTTAAAAATATACAAAGACAATTAAAATGAGCACTACAACACGCAATTAAGATGATAAACAACGTCAGTACCTAAAATATATACTTCAAAATCATCATATATTATTTGTGAAGTTGATACGAAATATTTATCAATAAGGTAATGGTATCTTCCAATGAACTCTTTTTAAGAAAAAGGACGAGACGTTTTTTTGACATAACCCTGGTTCATCAACTTTTTGCCCAGACACTGATGACGTTTTATGAAGGTTTAGTAGCAGCTGCAACCTTGAATACCCAATGAGGTGGTAAATGTATATCCCATATGCAGATGAAGTTGGTATATTGCTGCTTAGTTGGGGGGAAATTTATAATTACAAAATTAAAATCGACTCGTTTGTCGTAGATTCTGGCACCAAGATGACCGTTTATGTAAAATTCGAGGTATACGTCTAAAAATGATTCAGTGGAAGCATTGTCTGTTGTTTCTTTAATTTCTAGTTCTGTAGGATTTATTAATGAAACCCAATCAGAAAAGTTTGGATTGTTAATGGAAAGAACATCATCAATATATCTGAATGTTAAATTATATGATCTGCGTTTTGAACAAGCGAATGAAGAAACTCCGACTCATGAAAATAAGGAGATGTCGGTAAGGAGAGGCGCACAGTTCGTTCTCATAGGAATGCCGACAATTTGTTGCAAAAATCTTCCTCCAAATTCATCAAATGTGTTGCCAATAAGAAACTTCAGCATACTGATCATTTGTTCCTAGGTGTATCATATTTTATATTTTCGTTCACTAGTATCAAAATATGCTGTATGGTATTCGAAAGTAACAAATTTATAGCGTATTCTATCATTTTCATATTAAAAAGCATTGCGGATAATTTCTGTTAAGATGAATTTTTAATTTAACATGAGGAGTCGTGGTTTAAAGAGTTGAAAAATCAAAGGTGTTACAAGAATGAATTTTAGAGAAAGATCGCGATTTAAAATTATCCAGAAGTTCTTTAGAGTTGTTTTTTAATATCCACATATTGTTATAATAGAGTTATAATACCACTATGCGAGTAAACAGTTTGACGGTATTTCTGAAGACCCTCTTTCACTGCGGACAGATTTTTTTTCAATCTAATGGATAATTCCATCGTAGATGATGCAGATGAGCCGGCAATGTACCGTTGTTTGTACGGAATTTTGTGAAACTTAGGTATTCAATACAATGTCAGTCCTCAGATTTGCTGTTCAAAGTAATCTTAAAATTAAATTATATCTGGCTTATTTTGTCTTCTTGAATCTCTCAGACATTCTACTTTCCTTGGCGTACGTTTTGTCATAGTCATTTTATTTTTGTCTGATTAGTCCTTAAGGTTCGGCAGTTCCCAATTTATGATTTCTGCTTTCTTCCGTACGCAAGCGAATGTTGATGCCGTGTTTCGTTATTATTATACGTTAAATAGTGACGTTTTTTCCTATCGTGATGTTCCGACGTAAAGTGATGTGATACAGGTTTATGTTGGTTTGTACATTAATCTCATTGAAATTTCCCGTAAATCGCTCTTTTAAGTTGTCGTCTGTTTGTCCAACGTATTGTTTTTTTTTTTTTAGCTACCTCACTATATATATATATGTTGACCTCTAGATTATGTTTTTTATTGTTGTTGGGTTGATGTCTCATCATAGCAGTTTACTCAGTATCACCCGTTTTATCATGTTTTAGCATATTTTTAAATACCACACAGAGAAGGAATACGTGCAGCAAAAGGAAATGCTATAGAAAAGGGAAAACAAGAATCCGCCCACTTGGATATTATTACGATTCGTTCATTTTCTTCTCACGAAAAACTGTTTCCGATTTGATGACAAAAATTACATGCAGAAAATGGTACTTCTATGGAAAATTTCATAGCCCCGAAGTATGCCATTATTTTTATGGCTAAAGTTGAAAGGGAATTTTCAAATGCACAACACGAAAAACCATTTGTATGGTGGTCATAGACGTTTTTATCGTATGGTCCTTTTCGAGCTAGGATCTACAATATTTCTTACAGTCCTAAATTCTTTCCACTACTCTTATAAAATTCAACTAACAATAAGCAGCATCCTTAAAATATTAAAGCTGTAGCTAAAAAATATGTAGCAGGAGAAAGCCGGACAAACAATGTATCTATATCCGGACGGATTGACAAGGGTAAATTAATATGCCCCTCGATATTTTGTCGCGGGGCCATTAAAAACACTCAAGACTAACAGGCTAGAGGTTCCTGACTTGGGACATGCGCAAAAATGTGGTGGTGTTTAACATGTTTTGTAAGATCTCAACCTTTCCCTCATACCCCTAGTCAATGTGGAATAAACAAACACGCAGCAATACGCAAAGTAAAATTCAGTTTAAAAGATGAACAAATGACAATAATCAACATAAATTAACAAAGAGCTTCTAACAGTTACTAACATGCCAGCTCCCGACCTAAATTCAACTGCTTGAGAGATTATATCATCAACGTATGATAATCAATCACAATCCCTCCCGTTAGGGATTTAGTATCATGCTATCATAAATTATACGAGAAAAATTTTACTTGTATCATGCTTACAACTGGTTTTAGAATATATTTGTTTATTTCCGATGCAAAGATCCTATGAGTGAATCAATAAATTCCCCTAAATGCCATCTTTAATGACTTGACAACAGTAACGTATCTATATCCCTTCTAAATAAGTCTGTTTAAAGCTTCGGTTTTGCCATATCATATTACCATAAAATAAGGAATATGAAATTCATGAACATACTAAATGTCTGAAGGTTGATATATATTTACGAGTGATGTCCTTGTACCGATGATAAAATTTAGTAAATTTTTTTATAATGAAAAACCAGGTGTAATAATTTTTCAGTTATACAGAGATTTCTTTAGTTTATATCAAATACGTTGTTACATAACATACACGAGCTAAGAGTAAAAAAAATGGTATATATAAACACAATAAGATGGTGGCAAGGGAACGTCACCTTCTTAAAATGGATAATTAACCATAAAATGAAAAATAATTTCTTTTATGATAAATTTTAGTATTAAACTTCCCGTTAAATATATAGATATCAAGACCCAGGAAAGTACAGCGTTCATTGCTGCTTTATGTAAAGTAAGTTCAACAGTAAATCATTTTATCTTACATACTGAAGTCGTCTTTATTGTGAGCCAATGTATCATCAAATATTTAAAAGTTATTAATTTTTGCTTAAATTCTTCTGAAAATAGTTAATGCTTATGAAGAGACTATGCCAACCAGAAATAAAGGAAAGAACACTAAATAGGGTTACTATTTATGTAGTAAAGACTACAAAAGAGGGGCGAACGATACCAGAGGGACATTCAAACTCATAGATCGAAAATAAACTGACAACGCCATGGGTAAAAAAAGGTAAAGACAAACACACAAACAATAGTACATAAGACACAACTTAGAAAACTAAAGACTAAACAACAATGCTCAATTTTAAGTGACAATTAAGTAATTTACGTGCGTTCTATCTTTAATGTTTATGTAAACCGATAGACATATAGTTCATTGGTGCTGTAAGATGGAGCAAACACTTCAACAAAAGAGTCTCCATCTACATCAGCAAATGATAGTTCACCGACAGTTCCATCGCCGGCATCTAAAAACATCATCATACTGTATGTCCAATCAGAAGGTTCGTTACTTAATGGTTCTAAGTAATACGCTTTGCCATCATCATCTCCGGATAGTAAAATTGAGGGCTTCGATCTGCAATAAATTAATCATATTTATATGAATTTTAAATGAGATTTTTTTTATAACAAACCGGAGCATTGGCACGTTCAATTTACTCATACATGCATATTAAACAATGGTTTTTCTTCTTATAGACTGTCATCCCTCACTCCATTGCGACTCATAAGATAATATAAATAAATTATCAGAAAATCAAATATTCTAAATGATAATGATTAAGAATAACATGCGAAAAGTGTTATATATATATATATATATATATATATATATATATATATAGAAGCAGTAATTTTGCACTGTACCATATTCTTGAGTTCACTTAATAATAAAGCAACGAAAACATACGCGTTAACTTTGGTATTTGGATACACCGGCATTGCTGCTCCTGGTGCTCCTTTCCCTGTTCCAGATTTTCCTGGTTTAAATCCTGCCGCTAATGAGTGTCTCTTGAAGTCTCCAGATCTATATAAAAATGTATAAACATGGTGATTATGGAACGGCAAGAAGACATCTTACCGTATAAAATAAAAACTGAAAAGGTTCCCCTTCCGAAAGATAACCCCCTATTTTTGGTTTAGTTCGTGCTACTCATTCTTTAGTTCTCAAATTTGTGTTATATATATATTGGTGTTTGTCTTTTGGTTGTTGTTGTTGTTTTGCCATGGCTTTTTCAGTTCTTTTACGACTTATGAGTTTGAATGACCCTTTGTTATATACTGCCTATCTTTTTAAACATTCGCTGTTTCCGGTATCAATTGATGAATTGTAAACTATGCTTTATTATTTGTGACAATACGATTAAGTTGAAAGAATCTAACAGAAAGTGCATATAAATCCGGAATGCGTCTAGAATGTTAAGAGTTTTTTTTTATTCTGTTCATTTTATTATCCCAGTTACATATTGGACGGGTGTCAAAGAAGATGTTGTCAATAATTGAAACTAAATTAATATTTGTGTTTGATATATATCTATTGGCAACAATTTAGTGCATATACAGAACGAGGGGGAAAATAACAATCAATGCAATATTGAGGGTCTGCAAAGTGGGTCAATTGGTATGAAGATTTTAAAGTATTCCAGAAAACAGGTAGGTTGAGATAAATGATACCTTGTGACAGACATGAAAACTAACCCCCTCGATGAGATGTAAGGGTTGTTTTATTGCATATAGGCCAGGCCAAAATTACCCTATGCCAGATTCAAACCACCTGATTTATACAGTCAAATGGACGGCTCTCTTTATTTTGTGTAAGAAGTCCAGCTGACTGAATCAATCACATTGTTTACTTAACAAGAATACCAGTGGCGGATCCAGGGGGTTGGGTTGGGGGGGGGGGGGGGGTTGGAACCCCCCCTTTTTTGGACGATCAATGCATTTGAATGGGGACATATGGTTGGACCCCCCCCCCCCCCCCCCCCCCCCTTATCCTGGGTTGGAAACCCCCCTTTTGGAAAATGGCTGGATCTGCTCCTGAATACAGGGTCTTAAATATTTCAACGTAAAGCGACTAATACAAATATTGTACCTAAAGTCTGAAGGTACTTCATAAGCGTAGAGGGACCCAGATTCACCATTATTAGTCACAAGTAAGTCTGGTTTACCATCATTGTTCAGATCAGCCACAGTCACATCAAACACATTACCAATGCTATTATCTATTACTCTGGATTTAATCTGAAATAGACATAACAGATATTCGCAAAAAAATATTATTAAAAAAAACGTAACATTTTGGTTAGGCCGAAGATAAAACTATTACTCTTTTCAACCATTTTGTTGACATACATGACTGTATGAGTGAAAAAAAACCTAACGGAAAGTTGATTCGTTATGATTGATCGGTTTTTCAAGAATTTATAATTGAAACTCAAATATCACATTCATTAACAAAGCAAGCATGAGGGACAAATAGTGTGCTTCGGGATAAATTTTGTTGAAATCTACAATATTTCTAGTACGAAAAGCACATTACAATTCAATAACGAGAAGAATATATTTCATTAATTATGTTTCATACGTTTTAAATCTTTAATTGTAATCACGGAGATGAAGGTATAGTAGCATTTATCTGGCATTCAAAATATTTTAATTCTTCCATCTTTGTTGAATATGTTTATTTCACTGTTAAACCAATTAAATGATAATCTCGATACATATGGCAGGGATCTTTTTTTTTTATTATTTCACTGCCAAGTCCAAAAACTGTTTTAAATTAAACGAACGTGACCACTGTTTGCGTTAGTGCAATCAGTTATTAACAAGCAATTCTTATCACAATAACGGTATAGTTTAATTGCCAAAGAGATAATTATTCACCAAAGACCAACAAAACGTCGATATATATATATATATATATATATATATATATATATATCAGCACAGGGTCTTAAAAAATGACCAAAATCAATACCGTATACTAAGCTATAAATTGTCCTACCTTGACATTTTGGTAAACGAGACAACTTAAGGGAAAACATTAATTAAACTAAAACCATTACAGACAACTCAAAAGAAAGCTCATGATTTACCGGATGTCTTTGGATATGCAAGAATGTGACGAGGTTAATCATGTTAGCGATCATCTCATTAATTTGTTTACCTTAACATGGCACAGAGGTTTAAAAGCATAACAAAAGAACACATCTTAGGTAACTGGCGAATAGAAATATGATCTATTAGTCTTAGATTTTTTTTATTAGTTGTTATTGGCTTTGAACTAGCTGTCAGTTAGTGCGAGTGCACTAAGATCTGTACTTGGTGTCTTTTTGTTATAGGGATCTATAAGTACCCGTCCACTTCCACTGTGTTTTCGTGAGATATATTTCTATATGAATCTATCTAATAAGTTAATCATTTTTCAAAGGAACCTGTATTTCAGTGGATGTCGTTTGCTTGCTGTGTAACATATTTGTTTTTCGTTCATTATTTTGTACATGAATTAGGACGTAAGTTTTCTCGTTTCAAATAATTTAATTTGTCATTTCGGGGCCTATTATAGCTGACTATGCGGTATGGGTTTTGCTCATTGTTGAAGGCCGTACGGTGACCTAAAGTTGTTAATTAAGTGTTGTCTCATTTGCAATCATATCACATCTTCTTATTTTTATACTTATGTCTTCTTTCACTCGGAAGTAAAATCCTTGCTAAAGCGAAGCTTCCGTTTGGCTACGCGGGATGTACAAGTACGCAGATACGTCCGGTCAGGCGTTAAATCTGATGCCTCGTGTACAGAGTGCCAATTTCTTTGATGGGTCCGTAAAAAATGGGGGGAGGGCGCTGCAAAGCAAAAACTCAGTTCTAGTCCAATTTATCCTGATTTACCAATGGCAGTCCAAACTTCCCCGACCTCATCACGGACGGTCTCTATTACATGACCTACCTATAGTATTTATTAATAATTTGTTCCCATCGTCCTGAACATGCATGCAATATTTACCGCTGGACGTTGAGCAACAAAAAATCAATCGATCATAAGAACAAACCAACTACATCAGTTTTAAAAGGGTTGACCCATTAGATCGACACGAAGCACTTAAATAACACTAATTACTGATCTAGTATTTGCATTTACTGATACCTAGTTCAAAATTACAAAAAAAATCATGTTTTAGTATTTTTCATATTTTTGTTTCCTTGTGTTCATACTTAATGTTGAAGAACTTAACATCTAATTTTATAATACCTTTGATACGTCGGTCCAGTTTGCTATCTTATTATCAACCCAATAAATCGTCAAACTAGATGTGAAAAACTGTGCAGCTATCAAACAGTCTCGTGGACCATCTGTCGTATTAAAAACTGCATCGATGACAAAGATGTCTGGACCATGTGCGATAACAGTTGGTCGCCAGGGTGTATAGTAATTCCCAGGATTTTCTAACCATAGCATTTCAGAATCTTTCCCTGTGTTTAAAAGGTAAAACAAGTTTTAAATTTAAGTAACAAGTAAAGAATAAAGTCATTAAGAGTGACATTTCATCAGGACCCCCATGTCACAGGGCCGTAGACCAAGAGTTGACTCGGATATAGAAATATTGTGATTGTATCGTCTTTCTCCGCTTGGGCCCATGCTGAACTAAAGCGCTCGCTTGACTGTGCGGGATATATACATACACAGACACATCAGTTTTCTGCACAATGAAGAACATATGCAGTAGCTGTCCGGAGGTCAATATGCCGCTTGTTTCAAGGTAAAACTTCTGTCCCTATCAACGGACCTTAGTTTTCAAGTGGTAGTCCAAACATACCACCCTTTATGCAGGTCGACTCTACCTACTTGTATTGTTTGTTTAATTTTAACGTCCTGATCATAATGAATTATTTGCCACTGAATGTTAAACATACATCAGTCAGAGCGCCCCCTTACTCAAGACAATGAGCTACTTTCAGGTTTCCATGGTTATTGACATGAACCTCACTCCTGGGAATATAATTAATTCTATCACAAATCGTTCTAATTTGTTGTAAATGAGGTATGTTTCGGGAAATATATTTAGAACCCGTCTGTTCACCACAATATAATTAGCTTCATAATACCCGATCAACAGAACAATCCTCCGTATAGTCTCGTGTCAGTTTATTAGCATTATAAAAAGTACTAATAAAATCCGACTCAAAAATCTATAAATCAATAAAGATCACAACTCCTGCACCCAATGTTGCTTTTGGAATGTTCACTTAAATTCCCTCACACGGATTTTACAATTGTCACTTCAAAATAACATATGCATCATTTGCCCAACGGACAAGATTACGGAGAGTTCTTTTTAACATATCAAGTCTGAAGAATGCACTTTGTAAATACAACTAATTCACAAACTTTCTTGGGGAGATATTCAATATTTATAGATATTTTGTTTTGTTTTCGTACTGGTTCCCAGATATTATCTCTATGTTTCATCTCATAGAGATATAACTTGGGAATGTAATCATTTTTTTACGAAACTTCCTAGTTAAAGTGGCACAGTTTTAACCGTAAAAGTTCCTATGGGAAATTGCATTGTCTATATTAACACAAGCGCAACCTAAATGGATATTGATTCATTTGCATATTTTTCATGTTTTATAACAGCCCATTTCATTCAAGAAATCAGAAAAAATGATCCAGCATTGTTCTATATGACAACTGCGGTCAAAACCGTATCAATCTAAATCAAATTGAAAATCTTCTAAGATTTAAAATTTAATTGGTGTTTTTTTCGTAACTATCTCAAATATAAACAAACAAAAGATTTAAACAAGGTTTTTGGTCATTCTGAATTAAGATTCGTGCATTGTAAGGCACTCACATAAACCGAAAAACAGTATGATTGAAATACAGATCACGTGTCCAACCTTCGCTGACAACGCTTCGTTTTTTCTGTTTACATTTTGGGAATCTCTGGTTTTGTTGTTAAGAATCGCACCTTCAAAAATTTGACGGCAGAAATTTCACGAGTTGATATAATTATTACCTGAACTGAAAGTACAACGGATTGTTTTAAGTCAGATCTTTGCAAGCAGAGCATGGGCACAGGATAGTTTCATAATTAAATTTATCGAATAAATGCTCAACATTGTCACATTCATCTTAAACATCGAACTTATTAATTATCAAAGATACCAGGCTTATAATTTGATACGCCAGACGCGCGTTTCGTCCACAAAAGACTCATCAGTGACGCTCAGATCAAAATAGTTTCAAAGCCAAACAAGTAAAAAGTTGAAGAGCATTGAGGACCCAAAATTCCAAAAAGTTGTGCCAATTACGGCTAAGGTAATCTATGCCAGGGATAAGAAAATCCTTAGTATTTTGAATAATTCATACTTTTGCAATCAGTACATTTATAAAAATGACCATATAATTGATATTCATGTTAACACCGAAGTGCTGACTACATCGAACTAACCTATTCCTATAACAGGTTCCCTGGCTCTACAAGTAAGTATATCTAAGTCTCCATCTAAGTCCATATCTTTCCACACTACTCTGTGATAAAACCATTTTCCTGTTTGGTCGTCTGTTAGTTTGTAAGGTCCTTTCCCATCAATATCGACCAGGCTAATGGAACCATCTGTTTTAAATGGAACGAGAAATCCATCGGGAATTGCAACCATTGTTTTGTTGAAAACGGATCCTTTATATTGAAATAAAAGAAGTCAAAGTATTAACATCTTCGTGAATATTGGTTGATTGTTGCTTGTTTAACGTCCAGTGGAAACTATTTCATGCATATTCAACACTGAATACAAAAGATCGGCGTTCAAAAAAATATTGTAATTAATAAATTTGTTAGGCATGTGAGTTGCGATTGAAAAATGAAAGTACGATTTCTAAAAGGCATATGCTTTTTCAGATTTTTTCTTGAAAATAACAGTAAGAACAAAACTCATCAAAGATAACAAGCTAATAACAAGCTAATAACAAGAAGCCAACGAATGCTTTTTCGGGGAACATTTTCAGCATTTTCCCATTAAAGATACATACTTTTAGAAGAATAACCATCAAATGATCTTATTTTGTTTAATCGGCAATTTTGCATCTAAATTAAATTTAATATTAGTTTAAACTTATTTTATTGTTCAGAAAACTTATATAATATTGTTTGATTGACAAATGTTGCTAGCGCACGTTTAGCACTCTTGACTATATATTGGCGGTGGAGAGTGGAGATAACCACTGAACCTAGGCTGGAAAACAGGTCAAGATCAGAGTCGACCGTACCGTGCCATGATCAAGGTGCCAGCTCTCAAGTTTAATGTCGACAGGCGGGTGATCACCGTACTTTAATACGTATATCTTTAGGCCACCAGGCTCAATTTTTATTAAGGATATTTAAGATCGGAAAATGTAGAGAGAGATTTACTATTTAATGAACATATTAGTAATTTTTGGTAATCTAACGTCCAGTGGAAAATAGTTCATGCATGTTGAGGACGATGACCGTATTATTATACTGAACTAAATCTTTAAACTTCAACTAATTTTAATAAATTAATTTATAATGTGTAGGTTATGAATTATATGTTATAGCAGCATAAATTTTTGTATAAAGGGACAATGATGATTAACAAACTATTATACAGTTGCTTGCTGTGTAGCAAAATCATTTTCAAATGCCTTATACTATAAAGCATTTCTACGAAATGATAGTAAACTTTTTAGTTATTACAACTAATGCATGAAATACTTGCCACTGGACATTAAGTCAGTTCCAATAATTCAATCTCAATCTCAAGGGCAATTATATATAATATATTTTGGTACTGCTCTTAGATTAAATTAACTTAAAATTCTAACTTACTTAAAGTGTAATGTTTTACTTATATTTCGACCATACTTACTTGGAACTCCTGAAATCTCGTTTGGCCATGTTACTTTTGTTGTGACTATTTTTGGAATTATATTACTGCTGTTCGATAATAAGTGTTTCCCTACGTCCGGAACTATCTGTACAGTGTCTGTGCTGAACGGCACTGGATCAAATGTTGATATAAGCAAGTCATATTTGGAGGAGTCCCCAGTATTGTCAAAAATTTCGTACAATGACGTAAATCCAGGATATTTAATAGGAAACGACGTCACTTTAGTCAAATTGTATTTAAACGCAAGTACATGGCTGCTTAAAATAGCGACAACTGAGTATTTTAAAAATAAATTCATGTCACAAGTTTATCGTAAATCTGAGTGTTAAAACGATATCAGTACAAGTAAATATAATTATAGTAGATAACGGTATCAAAATTAGTCGAAATAAATGTGTGATAAACGGTATCAAAATTAGTCGAAATAAATGTGTGATAACGAGATAATGTTCAAGTTATCTTGTTACCTTACTTTAAATTGGATTGCACATATAACATGCATATTCAGGAGAATTGAAAAAAAAAAGAATTTGAACAAGGAGAACTTTTCGAAAGTGGTCGACAAGAATGAAGGGCGGCGAATGTAAATAGTTGCATGATGGAAAAATTGAGCAAAGATAAATGTTGCCTTCATACAGGCCACCTGAGTAAATGCAAATAATTTTAAATATTCAAGGAGCTTTACGCTCTCTATTTATTCATACATCCATTCCACAAAGCAAAACAGATGCCGCCACTCTGTTAACGGTGACGTCAAATTGCAATTTATCAATTAAACAATCTAGGATTGACCCAATCCTTTCAGAAAAATGCCTTAAATCTCTCAAAAATAGTTCCATTTAAGTTTTGATTACTACATTCTTGAAATAATCAAAATGATTTTGAAAACGGAATCGGGGTTTCGCGAGATGTGAAAATGCGAGCAACTGATAGTTTCTTGTCAACAATCGTTACAAGTTTCATGGAAACAATATATTTTACATAAAATAACTATTTTTTTTCAATGTTACTGTGATTTTTAAGTAAAACATGCATCACAATGACACTGTCTTGAATAACTCAATGAATGAACATAGCAATAATAATAGAAAATATCATATGATTTTTCAATATCACAACCATATCAACCCGAGACACCAATATAATCCCAGGAGCTCTGCTCGATGATTATATTGGTTGAGGGTTGATACAGTGTGTTCTGAGTCAAAGAAAAAAAAGCAGGATGAGACACTTTGCAAAAAAAAAAAAAAAAAAAAAGGCAGGATTACAATTTATGTAAAAAAAGTCAGGATAAACTTATAAAAAAAGGCAGGACCGTATGGAGTGAAAAATAAAAAGGCAGGACAGGGATAACAACTAATAACAAATGCAGGACAAAATTTTTCATCCTAGCAACAGTGACTAAAATCGATGACGTGACGTCATACAGATAAACGGTGTGATAACGCCTGTTTAAAAGTAAAATCACAAAAAAACTGAACTCCGAGGAAAATTCAAAAAGGAAAGTCCCTAATCAAATGGCAAAATCAAAAGCTCAAACACATCAAAAGAATGGATAACAACTGTCATATTCCTGACTTGGTACAGGCATTTTCTTATGTAGAAAATGGTGGATTGAACCTGGTTTTATAGCTAGCTAAACCTCTCACTTGTATGACAGTCGCATCAAATTCCATTATATTGACAACGATGTGTGAACAAAACAAACAGACATAATAGGTAAAAATGTCAACATTGTGTTATAATCTTAATCACTATAAAAACAAAAAAAATATGTAACAAAGAAGCACAAAAAGACATATAGACAAAGCACATTAGTGGGGGGTGGGGTGGGGGTGGGGGGGGGGGGGGGGGGGGGGGGGGCCGGACCTTTATCGGGAATTCGGGATCAGGTGTTTTTAAGCTCGGGATTTCGGGATTGATCCTTTCGGGATCCGGGAATGCTTTTTTCGAATTTCGGGATGTCGGGATTTAATTTTTTTTTTAATTCGGGACCTCGGGATTCCATGTTTTTAAGCCCGGGATTTCGGGATCAGGACCCCTCCAATATTTTGATATTTAAAACATTATTCAAAATATGTATATTAAGTGTGAATCAGTTACCATGATTATCCGTTTACTATGCCATTTCTATAATGTTATACACACCCTCGGATTATTGATCTTGTTTTCTTGATGCATCGACTAGTTTTTGCAGCTGAGCTGCTACCAAAAAGAGCCAATGGTGATGATCTAGTTTTACGAAGTCGATGACATTACCAAATTTCGATTTTCCTTTTGATATGATCATTGAATATGTAATGCAGTATCATCAAATGCAACTCGTTCGGTGGGTCTGAAACACCTATATCCTCAATATGATAAAACATATGGTAAACATGACATAGAACGCCTTCGTAGAGATCACACAAAAGTCTTTCAATGTGTTGATTATGAGTGTTTGTCCTGTAATCATGCTTCCTGTTCCATTTAATCCTAGCATGCAATCGGCAACAGGGATATTTTCTTAACCTTTGTCCGATCTTACACGTTTTGGCGTTCCATATCGGGAATTTCCAGTGCGATAACATTCAAAAACTGTTTCCGATTTATGCCAAAGATTGTTTGATCCCCCCACATTATAAATTACCAACCTCACCATGATATGGGATGTTCATTTCCCAACTGATTTGGTATTCAAGAGCTTGAAACTGCTACTCGATCAGACTTTAAAAACGTCACCAGTGTTTGAGCAAAAAGTTGATGAGTCAAGGTTATGTCAAAGAACGTCTCTTCCTGTTTCTAAAAGTTCATTGGAAGATACCAAGACATTGTTGATAAATATTCCTTACCAACTTCACAAATAATACATGATGGTCTTGAAGTATAGATTCTCGGAAAAGACGTTGTTTGTCATCCCAATTACGTGTTAAAGTACCCCTTTTTTTGTCCTAATATATATTTTTAATCTTTACTGTTTATCCCTTTTTGATTATATACCTGACGTGGATCGGTATTTATATATCCCGCCATTGTGTTATTGTGCTATGGTCAATTTTGAGTTCTTGTCTTTCATTTTTACTTATGTAGTTTGCTTATTTGCCATTTTGTGTTTCTCAGTTGAAACAGTTATTTTTATGCCCCACTTAGGGGCATTATGTTTTTCGGTCTGTGCGTCTGTTCGTTCGTCCGTTCGTCCGTCTGTCCCGTTTCAGGTTAAAGTTTTTGGTCGAGGTAGTTTTTGATGATGTTGAATTTGAAACTTAGTACACATGTTCCTTATGATATGATCTTTCTAATTGTAATGCCAAATTAAGAGTTTTGACCCCAATTTCACGGTCCATTGAACATAGAAAATGATAGTGCCCGCTTCAGGTTAAAGTTTTTGGTCAAGGTAGTTTTTGATGAAGTTGAAGTCCAATCAACTTGAAACTTAGTACACATGTTTCCTATGATATGATCTTTTTAATTGTAATGCCAAATTAGAGTTTTGACCTCAATTTCACGGTCTACTGAACATAAAAAGTGATAGTGAGAGTGGTGCATCAATGTACTATGGACACATTCTTGTTTTTATAGTGATTAAGATTATAACACAATGTTGACTGCCGATCCGATTTTGGACGTTTTTACCTAATATGTCAGTTTGTTTTGCTCACACTTTGTAGTCAATACAATGGACTTCCATACAGACGAGAGTTTTAGCTAGCTATAAAACCAGGTTTAATCCTTCATTTTCTACACAAGGAAATGCCTGTGCCAAGTCAGGAATATTACAGTTGTTTTCCATTCGTTAAATGTGTTCGAGCTTTGGAATTTCCGTTTTGAATTTCCCACGGAGTTCGATATTTTTGTTAATTTACTTTGTTTTTTAAGCCGTCCTCTGCGATTTATTTCTGGACTGTTTTCGTCGATCCTTTTAATACATTCTCGTAGATGCAAACTCGGAACATGTATTCATTTTCTTTTCAGTATGGTTCTTGTATAGGTTTACCATCTTCTATTTCAGAGAAAGAAGTTTTGTTCGTTCAGAGACGTACATTATTTTAGAAATTTTGGGATATTTTAATCCAATCTCCAGTATGTTTTGTAATATTGCCTTTGGAATGTCAAATTACTTTAATCGGCTTTGAGGTACCATTTTTAGAGCAAACTTTTAATTCATCATGTCTGACCTGTTTTGGACACCAAGTTCCTCCATTCCATTCGAAGACAACTGAGAAAGAATTTCTGGAGATATTTCTATGCAACAAGTGCTTCAATCCATGATTTTTAAGAATTTTCCTGCATAACTCATCTGTTCGCCATATTCACCTCGAATTCATTTAATTCTACGTAAACCAAATTGTGCCTTTTTTACATTTCTTGGTCAGGATTACTGTTTTATCAATACGTCTTTTGAATATTATTTCTCAGAGTCAGCAATAAAACCAATTTCATTGTTACCTTCTGAAATTACCAATAATCAAGGTAGCCCTATCCTGTAGTTTAATATCTAACAAGAATAGGAAAAAGAAAGGATACGGGGTATGTGTCAATGAGACACCATCACAATAAAATAGAACATGGCAAAAATGCCATCATCTAGGGGTCGCCGTGTTGTCTTCAACATAGAGCAACAGTCCACACCATATAACAAGCACTAAATAGCCACAAAGTAAATGTGAAAATTTAAATCATAGACATAAAAAATCAAATAAACAAGGTATTTGACATTAGGACTTATAACAATTAAAGAACCTTACTGAGCGCGCTTATTTACCCAATGCCCCCACATTGTCACTGGGTAAACGATATCCATGGGAGTGAACCTCAGATTGCATTTGAAGAGGCTTAGACACGAAATGAAGACGCTTTCCAGATACATCCAGATATATATATGTGCAATTCTTACAGGTCCTTGTCACAAAAAAGGTCCCCCTATTTCAGATTTTTCTACAAATCGATCTCATCTAAGGTTATGAGAATGAGAGGAGACCTAAATTTGAATTTGAAGAGGCTCTAGCAAGGAATGGAGATGCTATCCGATATCAATATGTATGTGCAAAATTTACAAGTCCCTCTCCAAACACAATAGTCCCCCACTTTCAGATTTTTCTGAAAATTGAGCTCATCTATGAATTTCATAAAAGTGAACCACAGTGTGAATTTAAAGAGCCTCGGACAAGAAATGGGGACACTATCCAGGCGACATAGATTTTTACAAGCCAACCTCCCTTAAAAATGACCCCCATTTAATATTTTTCTGAAAATCGAGCTCGTCCAAGTTTTCCTTGAGAGTAAACCTTGGTTTGGATTTGAAAAGGTCCGGACAAGAAATGGAGACGCTATCTTAGCGACATCAAGTCCCCCTCCCCAAAATAGTATGAAAAATTGCCCAATGTTATATAAGGATGTCTTTATAATGCTGAAATGTAATATTATGATATAATAATCTACCAGAATAGCAAAATGAGATGATAAGATAGTATGAAAAAGTGGGTCCATATTATATCAAGATGTCTTTGTAGTAAACAACTTTATAGTCGTAAGTTAGTAATATAACAGAATAGTATGAAATAGATGCTCCATGTTATATCCTCATTATTGTATAGTATACAAATTTATCGTAATAAGATAGTTAAAGGACATATCAGTATAGTAAACTGACAAAATAATATGGAAAAATTGATCAAAGTTATATTAAGATGTCTTTATAGTAAAACAGTGCTTCTTCTTGATATAGCAATATTACATAATAGATATTAAAATGACAAATCAGAATGACAAGGTAGCTCCATGCTATATCAAGATGTCTTCAAAGTATAAAAGAATATCCTTTTGACAGAATGCAAAGACAGAATAGTATAAAAAGTAACTCCATGGAACATGAAAACGTCTTTATAATATATAAATGTATCTTCGTGATATACATGACATAGCAAATTGACAAGAGTAGTATAGTCAACTGTCGTAGTAGTTTAGAAAATTTGCTTCATGTTATATCTCAACCCTTAATTAAATGAGTATCGTTATCATAAGGCAGCAGTGGCGTTCCATATATTTGCATCTATTTAGAAAATTTATAAGACTGCATGAACACTTTTTTTTTATTTTGAATAAAAGTTTAAGAAGCTTGAATTATACAAAATCTTAATTATTTTTATATATATAATTATTTATATATATATTTAATTCATTTATTTATTTATCTATTCATTTATTTATTCATTTATTTATTATACAAAATATGAAGAAAAAAATCTATTTATTTATTTAACTATTTATCTATCTCATAGGATACAAAATATAATTTGTTATTTCAGTCAAATTCACAAGATACATCGACACACATACAAAAGATAAACTAGAGCGTGAAGCGATATAAAGAAAGCTACCAGGTAGATTGTTGTTATAACCGCATCACAAATCACTATAGATCTCATTCAAAATAATTTGGTCATCAATTTCTTTAAAATAAATAGCATGTCAGTTCTATCTAGGTCATCGTTAGAAATACTAATGTTGACTAAGTTAGGGTCTAGTATCAATTTTTGTCGTGTTTACACCACGTTTGAAAAATTCAAATTGACCGGAAAGTATACATACGTATTGGGGTAAGTTGAACTTGAGGTTTAAATTAGGGTCAGGTATAAAGTTTTGTTGTTTTCACACCTCGTTTGAAAAATTCAAATTAACCGGAAAGTATACGTATTGAGGTAAGTTGATTTTGTTGACTTAGTTAGGGTAAGGTATGCATATTTGTCAAGTTTGCACCACGTTAAAAAAATCAATCTGACTTGAAAGTAGGTATTCGGGTAAATTGATCTTGTTTGCAAAATTAGGATGGAACGCTGGAAAATTAAAATTAACCGGAATTATAATTAGGTATATTGAGGTAAGTCGACATGTAAAGTACGTAATATATACTTATCAGTTTGGATATACAAACTTAAGCTTTAACTTTTGAATATTAAATGCTTATTTAAATGGTTTGTTATTCGCAACAAACATATAATATAGGTAAGAACTTAAAGAGGTAAGAAGAAATGAACACGGGAATGAATGTCACACCTAGGACGGCTCTTTACAATAACTCATCTTTTATCTTTTATTATTTTCAGATCTTTTAAAAACCAAACAGCATACAAAACTTTGTTATTAATGAAAAACATCTATTTATTACAAAGATAGAATAATACCGACTATGAAAATGTTATATATATAGAATTATTAAGTCATGCATTAACATTTTATGCGTGGTGAATATTTTATCAAGTTTCAATATCTGAAAAATATTTAAAACCAGGTTAACCGATCTGTGTATATGTATTAACAATATGTAGTTAAGGTCAAAGACACGCGCCAAAAGCAATTCCCCAGTAAAAATACACAATTCAAAAATAGCTAGTACTGGAACTTTCATGACCAGAGCATTGGTAATCATGTAATATATGTATAGTCTGGTCTTCAAGTAATGATAAACAGATTAACCTGTTTATTCTTATATTATCCTTAATGTGGTACCCAACACCTTGACTTTTATTAATTTGGCTCGTTTAATTTTCATAAAATTTTGACAAAATGTTTACGTTGACCCTTTGACAAAAATATAAAAATTTCAAAAAATTCATTGGTTATATAGCAGTTTGACACACACTAATTTTGATCATTGAGAAGCTTAATATTTTCTTAACAATACAACGTAATTAAAACGTTTATCTGATTTTGACAGAGTTATCTCCCTGTAGTGTTAGGTTCCACCTTAAGGCATGCAAAGCTTATAAAATCGATGATCCTCAAGGCATGTAAAGCTTAAAAAATCCGATCTAGAAAATATGCATGTGAGAATCATTTTTTGCAGTTGGACACATCAAGCTTGCTTGGTATGTACGTGGTATTGTGTTTTTAATATAGGAATAATAAGATGTGGCATAATTGTCAATGATATTACATGAAACAAAAGGACAATGGTGTAGTTTACTTTCAAATGAAAATTCCTACACATTTCATTTTATTCAAGATCAATAGTGTTACAGCAGTGCATATACTTTCTTTGATTTATGCAAACGTGTTCAATAATGTCAGCACAAACTATCGTGCTTTTACCCTTTCAATAGTTTTACTAGTAAGTACATGTATTAACAGATTTAAATAGCTAAATAAATAATTATAGTTAGTAGTTAGCAAACGCTGATAAACAGAACATGTATTTAGGGAAGAATTTAGCACTCACATGTCTTGTTATGCATCTTTGAAAAATGCTGAAAACAAATTTAGAAAAAGACCAAACAATATTTTTTTAAGTTTCCCGTCACATAAAACACTTCCAGACCCTCACATATTCTCGTAGTGAGTATGCATTTGATTTCTCCTTAGACATGAAATAACCATCCATCCATCCATCTGTCACCATCCCCATCAAAGAGAAATATTTCATTTTTCGCCGTATTTTCTTCCTGTTCATGTATTGTAGTGTAGTTCAGGTTATTTTGGAAGTTATTTTTGGAAATATAACCACAAGCAAATTGTACAGTAAAATTTCAAGATTTATCCTGGCGAAATAAAATTTTATTTACAGGTAACAACCATGACAGCAGAGGACAGCAGGTATGTATGACTAACATTCTAAAATATGTAAACACATGTAAATGATGTTGATGTCGGAAATTAATTATATATTTTTTTTACTAAAATGATATCTTTTAAAAGTTGTCATATTCATTGTGTAAAATTCTTACGCTTTTACAATTCATGCATGGGTATGATTTACTGTTGTACTATTTGTTACTGTATCATGTGTATGTGCACGACTAATTACTGTATGTGCATGCATGATTACTTACTGTATGTACACTATTTCCTACTAAACATGACTCGGAAGCATTATATCAACGTTTATGATCATGTACGCCGGTATTAAATGTACAAGCTCAATCTGATAGAAATCTTCCTTCGTGTTAGTTCACGTGTTACTAATAAAACAACAACTTTACAACTATAAGAAGTATTTCCCCCTTCGGCAAATGATTCATTTTAAATGTTTTATATTGGTTCTCTTTTGTATAGTTTCTGTTTGTTTTCACTCTTCTTACAATGTCTATCTGTGTCCAACACTAAGTTCTCCGTAACAAATCAATGTGTAACTTTAACCTATGAGTTTGACTGTCCCTCTGGTATCTTTCGTCCCTCCTTTATAATACTTCTTATATCGAACACAGCGAGTGACAAAAAAAAACAGCATATTAACAAGTAAATGAACATTAAGTAATTGATGTGTGTATGTTTATAACTAAATTTATGGTATGATCAACTGATTATCGGTACAGTACTATATTTTGGACAGTTCGTACATGAGATTAAAAAAAGCAAACAATAGCAGCAATATACAATAAAGCTTTAAAAAGACAGGTCCATTTTACACCGATTATAAAGATACCGTTGACAGTTCATCTGACTACAGATTCCGACGTTGGTTTTCTTTTTTTGCAAATTGGCAAAGTGGCACAACCATATACTCTATTTTTGGCGATACTGATACTAGGTGTTTTGAAAACAAGTCGCGCAAATGTAGCATTGGCACAAATGAGTCATATTTAGGATGTATATATGAGTGTACACCAATAAGATAAGAAGTAAGGTATACATCAATGAAACGTTATCCAAACGGTAAAAATGACAAAAAGTACATCGAAAGGTCAACAGTCTTCTACAGTGAACTCTCGAGTTAAACAATGCTCATATAGGAGTAACAATCTTATTTATGGCCTTCCGAGCTATCATTAAATAACAGGCTCCTGATTTTGGAAAAAACACGTTAGTACTGTCTTGAACTTGTATTTTTAATGGTATTTTTGATTGATTAAACAATACGTCTAGAAGTTACCATTTAAATATGTTAATCGTTGCCGAGCTATGTATTTTCGTAGATTGTTATCCTAAATTGGCATTTTAATATGAAGTTTATTTATCCATCAGATGGTAAATGTTCAATTAATTTTTTTGACACGGTGTTGCTCTTAAGAAATATTTATCAAAACTTTCAACCCTCTTCATTTATACCTTTTTAGTTTCATAACTTCAACACCTTCATCCAAGAAAGATCGAAGTAAAAGTAAAACACAAGGTTTAACGACTTTTATGGCGTCGACGGTAAATTTATGAACTAATATCCAATCTTCTATTGGCATTTTTTATAGTGATAATTTTGGCAGCTATTCTGCAGAGCAAAGAAGGAAGTGGTCAGCCTAGAAAAATTACAGTACGAAAGGGAGCAGTTGGAGCTGATCATGAAGTGTGTTCCAGAATTGGAAAGTACATTTTAGCAAGCAAAAGAAACATAGCAAAATGCAATATGAATCACTCGTTAAATTAGCCCTAGTGTAGCCAAAATGACTTTTAATCTGTAATTTACTGCTCATAGTTTGGAATGAATTATTTTTGGAAAATTTCTAATTTATGATACAAAATCATGATTTTTACTTGAACCTCCATAGATCAATAAATGTGCAGATCAGAACTAAAATGAGTAAAATATACAGTAAGAAGATATAGTCTAAGATCAAATGAAACAGAAATAAACAACTGTAGGCCATCGTACGGCCTTCAACAATGAGCAAACAAAATAAGTCAGCTATAAAAGGTCCCGAAATGACAAATGTAAAATAATTCAAACGGGAAAAACAAACAATTTAAGTGCAAAATAATGAACGGAAAATCTTTATATTTAAAGAAAATATATACGAACTTGCAAACAAATAAGTCCTGTATAAAGATTTGCCACCAACACAAAATTCTCCAAATAACAAAACAGTTAAAAATTTCACCTTAAACACGTTTAAAGCTGAATAAGTATTGCGACACTGTGTTACAAGGAATATCATAATGTGAAGATCAGTTAGACAAAACGAACAATCCCATGATTTATCACATAGGAATGCGCATATGCCAATTTACATAATCATGATAATTGTACAACACTGAAAACTTAAACTTGATTTATACTAACTCTAAATAATCTGTGATTAACATCAGGTGCTATAGCATGGTAGTCAAACCCCATTTGGAATGATGCACATGCTGTAATCTTTAGTCGTAGCAAGTATCTGATTATGTGGTGTTATATGGATGTTAAATGTTTCTCATTGTTGAAGGCCGTACATTTGCCTTTTATTGCTAATATCCACTCCATTTGAACTTTGGTGGATAGTTGTCTCATTGGCAATCATACCACATCTCTTTATTGTTATATTGATATCACAATCTGAATATTTTTAATTTTTCAGGGACGTACTAGTAGATGGTGGATCTGCTGTCGATGCTGCTATTGCTACTCTGTTATGTAACGGTGTCATGGCACCTCACAACATGGGGATAGGTGGAGGTATGTTATGAATATTTTTTACAAAATGTATATCAGTGTACACATTATCAACTGCAGTGTAAGAAAAATCACTCACGATTTTACCAAACATCTGCTATTAAGAATGATAAATATACATATGAAAGAAACAACCACTGGCTTGTTACAAATACATAGAGATTTGGAGTGTTTAGAAAATTAAAACTTATCTCCGGTCATTCCTTTTATTACTATTACTATTACTGAAAGAACAAAAATGCAAATCGAAAACATATAATTTTAATTTCAGAACATAATAAATTAACCGATTGAAATTGAAATTCATATAAATGACCAGTTGTTCCGACAGATTTTTAAAACTAAATGATGTATACCAATTAAATGAAGATATATACAATTCTCGCAAAATAAAATCAACGTCTGAGGGACATGTCATTTGACAAAAATGATTACTTCTAGTTGCAAGCATTTCATGTATATCAAGGACGACTCCTTCCTTTATGTAGAGAAAAGACTCTGCAAAGTCAGTAAACGTATTACCGAAGAAGTGAAATAAGCACGTGTACATATCATTAGACAAGAAAAATAATTAAGAAAAAAAAAGATGTCATTTCGACAAAAAAAAAATAAGTGAGATCTGCTTACCCCTTCCAGAGCACCTGAGGATAACCCCAGGTTTTTGGTGGGGTTCGTGTTGCTCAATTCGTCTTTGTTGTATTTTGTATATTGTTGTTTGTCTTTCGATCTTTATAAAAAAAAAGAGGATATGGTATGATTTCCAATGAGACAACTCTTCTTTGTCTATTTTTGCCATATGGTGTTGTCAGTTAATTTCGACTTATGAGTTTGAATGTCACTTTGGTATCTTTTACCTCATTCTAAGATATAATGTAAATGAGATTAAGTAATACACATGTTAATTTCAGGTTGTTTTATGGTTATATACGATGCACAGAACAAGAAAACATTAGTGGTAGATGGACGTGAGACAGCACCGTTAAGTTCTTCACAAGAAACATTTGTAAACGAATCCGGTTACATAGGTAAGGTTAATGTAGAACTTAAGGATATAACAGGGCCTCAACAAGACTCTAGAAATAAAGGATCTAACAGTTCATGGTTAAGACTCTTAAATCTATATCAATATAGCAAGACACGGTTGAAGGCTCTAGAAACATATAAAATTGATATATTTTATAAATGTTGACAGTAACATATATATAAAAAAGAAATTGTGCCAATGAGACAACTTTTCGCAAGAGACCAAATGACACAGAAATTAACAACTATAGGTCACCGTACGGCTTTCATCAATGCGCAAAGCCCATACTGCATACTCAGCTATAAAAGTCCCCGAAATGACATATGTAAAACAGTTCAAACGAGAAAACTAACGGCCTAATTAATGTACAAAAAAATTAACGAAAAACAAATACGTATCACAGCAACAAACGACAACCACTGAATTATAGGCTTCTGATTTGGGACAGGCAAAAACATACAGAATGTGGCGGGGTTAAACATGTTAGCGGGATCCCAACCCTCCCCAAACTTTGGACAGTGGTGTAACAGTACAACATAAGAACGGACTATAAAAATCATTTGAAAAAGGCTTAACTCATCAGATGGATACAAATAAAAATACATCTAACAAAACACAGAGTGGACGTGGCCGGGTACTTGTACATCCCAACAACAAAAAGACACTAAAGACAGATCTGAGAGTACAATTACTGACAGCTAGTTCAAAGCCAATAACAACTAATAAAAAAAAAATCATGCATCTAAGACTTAATTATCAATCAATACACATCCAACATCCAATGGATTTAGTGTACGTCATAAACAGTCAGAGAAAAACATGACTTTGAGCAATGCCAAGATACAGGTATCGACAGATTGTAGATCCATGAAAATGCATATGTATATAACAATAATATTAGTTTGCTTTTAATTTACTGATAACAAAATCAATATCAATACCAATAAGAACAATATTCAAAGATTTAATTACGGTGTTGAATTAATAACCTTTTAGAATAAGTTTATTTAAAGGATCGATAAGTTTACCAGTATCTAAATTTCCGGGCACGGTAAACAACATCTCCGTTAAAATGAGGTTGTGCTATCTCGTTTGAAATAAGTTTTCTACAGGTACAACCAAACTTCAAAACCAAATCTTTATTTCTATGCAAGAATTTAGTTAAGGTTTTAAGTAATTTGTGGTAACGAAATCCCTGACTTAATAATTTATCAGTAATACATAGATTACGTTCAATTAAATCTAAAACGTCACAACCGACACGGGCATAGCGACGAGTTGTGAAATATAAACACCGTAAGATGGTGCAAGGGAAAATGTACATGTTTATCAAACCGATGTTTCCATATATTAAGTACTAGTACACACACATATATATACACTGTTACAGATATCCTTGACACGAGTAGCTGCTAGGTCGAATCTTATTTATCTTACCGACTATCTTCACATGTGGTAGTTAGGCTATCGGCCTATCAAAGTGATTAAGTCTTCAATACTTAGTATAACCTACTTCCATTTTTTTATACAAAAAAAACAAAAAAAACAAATGCCAACAATAACAATTTGTTAGCTTTAAATTTGTTTTATGAATTTATTTCAATGTCATTATCAATTTCTTAGTCTCATGAAACCTTTCAGATTTCTTTTTTGTTTTGAAAGGGAAGTAACTCCTTACTAACCCCATATGGTAACTAACCCTATATGGTAACTAACCCAATATTTTTTAGGACACCCTATATCAAATATATGTAGTCACCACGTGTAGTCCTTTAACCAATTATAACCCCATAAATCTATAGAAGGTACGATAATATTAGTTACGCAGCGTGCATTTGTCCTAATACTTGAATTTATCGGGTCAATAAAATCCATATCGGGTGAGGCGAATTTATCCTGATTTTGTTATCAGACCACTTATTATTATTTTTTTCATAATAAATTCCGTATTAGGACAATTGCACACCGTTTAACGAATTTATCCTGATTTTTTTATGACACCACGTCAGTAATACACAAAGGGAAGCAACTAAATTTATTGGGGTATAAAAGCGTTGACCGAAGTACATTATCTCAAGGTCGTCCAGAGAATATACCAAGTGTGAATAAATTAAAAGAGAAACAATTAATTAACGATCTTTTACAGCATATTGTATATTAATTATTCAGGTCCGAGTTCATTGCTGTTCCTTGTGAAATTGCAACATATTGGAAAGCACATCAAAGATATGGAAAAGTACCATGGAAACGATTATTTGAACCATCGATAGACCTACTACAAAATGGATTCCACGTTTTACATGCTGTAGAACGTGCAATGAAGCGCTTGATGGCTAATAACAACAGTATTTGCGAAATACGGTGATTCGGGTATGTTTTAGTTTATACTTCGCAAAAGTTAAATTTAGGTTATCCACAAAAACATGCAAAACAGAGAATTACAGTTCTATGAGTTTGGATGGGGGTCTATACTTTATTTGGTTTGGCCTATTTTTCACAATTCTTTTTTTCTCCCTTTATTCCATTATTCTCTATTCTGTAAACCCCATTTAGACCATCTTATATATATGATGCTTTAGAAGATTTTATGTTTATCTTTGATGCAATGATTGCATCCCATTTATCATTATTTCCACAAATAAACTATGTATACCGTGGTTTAAGTTATACACATTTAAAATTATTCAAATGTTTAATGCTATTCATTTAAACAAGAAGATAGATGATGTAGTGACATACACTGGTGATTGTTGCACTTTTCTAGCCGATCTTCAAATCTGAAAATATTCAAAAATATTCTTACTATCTTTCAGTGAAATTTTCTGTGATGAGATGGGAAATAGTCTACCAGAAGGAACCTTTGTTCAGTGGCCCAGACTAGCAGAAACTTAAAAACAACTAGCAGATGTAGGACCTGATTACTTATATAAAGGCAAAATCGCAAAAACTATGGCACAGGAAATTAGGAATTTAGGTCAGTTGTCAGTATAGTATTTATGAAAAAATTTATGATTTAAGATTGTGAGAAAAATCAAGCTTCTTGTTTAAGCGAAAAACAAAATGTCAGCTATCAAGAGACACTACGCGAAATTATAGGGACAAGGACACGCAATATGAAATCTTTTAACAGTAACGTACCCATGATGACGTTGCTTTTTTTGTATTATGATATTTGTAACTAATCATTAGTTTGCTGTTTATCGTAAGTAGGACATTTTTCATTTCTTAATATATAAGTTTACATCATAATCTTCATTGTAATCAAAAACATTAAAATAGATACAATTTTGATATTTTTAGATCGTAAAAAGGATGATATCTGAAGAATTCGCTACATACTTACGTAGAAAAATAGATTTGACCAAAACATATGATATTGAATACTATGCAAATGTGACTGAGGCAGCACATGATCAAGGCACTGCGCATGTCAGCGTTTTAAGTCCGGAAGGGGATGCTGTATTTGTAACGAGCACAATTAATGCATAGTAAGAATATAACTTAAAATAGTAGTTGAAAGAGTAAGAAAATTCGAAGCTATATCTATCGTGAGAGGTTTAGGTAGATATAAAACCATGTTTCTACATAAAGAAATCCCTGTACTAAGTCAGGAATAAGACAGTTGTGTTGCATTCATTAGATGTGTTTGAGCTTTTAATTTGCCATTTGATACAGGACTTTTTTTTCGCAAATAAAATTACAGAGATCTGGATTAAAGTTAGTACAGCCTGATTAAAACGTTTAAATGTGAAAAGTAAATCCATCTTGTGTGTACAATTTCTATTTTGTCAGGACTGTAGCCCTTAAAATACCCAAAAAAAAAGGGAAACCATTTTATAATTATGTTTCGTACTATATCTTTTCGATTGATATTTTTCTGTTTTGTTTTCCTTAATTGATTTTATTAAAGCAGGTGTTTTGTTTAAGTAAATTTACACAGTCACACTCTTTACTTTATAAGTTTCGGATCTTTAACGGTTTCGGAGTCCACTGGAATAATATGGAACAACGCCATGGCGGATTTCTCTTTGTTTGATGATGGTCTGAAGGTAAATGTTGAATAATATATGTTAGGCACCATTATCACTGCTGGTTGAAAAAGCTCACTTTGAACAGTTGAATCAAGTTACATTGCGATCTAGTGTATACTTAGATGTATCTATACAATACTGCTCAATGTTATTCTGTGTGTTCTTGGACTTAATACTATAGACATCAAATATCTTCTGTTTATATCTGATACACAAAGATTAAAGTTATATCTTTGCTAGTCTGACTTTATACCATTGATTAATATCGACAACTTGGTGGATGTAATCAATTCAATATCTTATATAGTTCGCCAAATATTTATAATTGTTGTCAAGTCAATGATACTTTTTTTGTCCACACACGTGGGTTTAGATCAAACAACATGCAGGTCAATATAAATCTTGTAGTTCAGTATTGGTCGTTCCCTTACTGAACATTCAGGCAAAGTTGACACAAAGACATTTTTGATGTAGTGATCCCTTTGGGTTCTTCGTGCATATCAGCATACACTTAGTTATTTTGACCTTCGTGTCTCATGATTGTAAAATATGAAGGCTAAGCCTGAAACCAGTGTTATGTGCAAAGAAGCTGATTTCCTAATGTTTCAATTGAAAAGTATGATGAAGTTTTTTAAAATATAAATATTTAAACCGATTTTTGTGACTACAGTTCTCATTAACCATGGTATTTTTTCTTTGTTGATTAACTTTACATTATATCTGAAGGCAACAGTTCCAAATAAATTACAAGCAGGAAAAAGGCCGTTGTTTTCCATGGCGCCAGCCATTTTTGTTGACAAGAAAACCGGAAGTGTACGAATGATTATCGGAAATGCAGGAGGGTCTCGAATAACGACAACAAATATACAGGTTAATTTCATGAAAAAACCTGCACTTTATGATTGTATTATTTTGTTTATCTATCAAGGCCATTTTTTCTTACATGCATGAAATAGATTCAGGCATAATGACTCTTAGGAAAATGTTAAGTGATGATATTTGAACGATAATTTCTCTTTCAGCTTTCAAATGTTCACCAGGAATGGTGTATTATGTGGACTTACATTTAAAGATTTTACAATTCAAACCAACAGGACAGTGAATTACGATACAATATCAATTGAATATGTTATTTGCTTTTATGCAATTGTGATACAAGTGAGAGGTTTTGCTAGCTATAAAACCAGGTTTAATCCACCATTTTCTACATAAGAAAATGCCTGTCCCAAGTCAGGAATATGACAGTTGTTATCCATACGTTTAATGTGTATTTGCCATTTGAATAGGGACTTTCCGTTTTGAATTTTCCTCGGATTTTGATTTTTTTTTTATATTTTTCTTTTTGTGTAGATAGCCATACGATTATTTCTCTCTCAGCTTTTAAATGTTCACCAGGAATGCTTTATCATATGGACTAACATTTAAATATTTCATCATTTAAACTTACAAGAGAGTAAATTACTTTACAAGTGTTATTGAAATGCTATTTGTTATTATATAGGTAGCCGTTAGAAATTTATGGATGGGACAAGACATAGAGGATGCAGTTTGGGAAAAGAGATTTCATCATCAACTAAATCCTAATCTATTGGTCTATGATTTTGGTTATCCACAGATGGGAAAGATTTTTAAAACATAAACATTAACTACATAAATATATTCAACTACTTTCAAGGACTAATTTGTTTGCAAAGCATCAACGTGTTTTTTTACTTAAAATAGAATTTGCAGAAACGTCAAAAACTGATTTAATAAGTTCGCATAATTCGTCAAGTTCAGCTACTAGTAAACTTTACAGAGTAGCATGTTCGGAATGTAGATCATGTGAATTATAGGGTTACCATGCGTAGAATTCGTACCTAAACCTGCCATCGCAATAACAAATTGACGAAAATATTGTGTATATGAATGATTGAAAGAAATATATTACAATTTTTTATGATACTTTGAAATTGATATCTTCATTGTGTCAACAATTGATTTCATGTAGGATAATCACTGCATTATTTATCTGCTGAAGTTTTGTGTTTTAAGTTTTAATTTCAATTTCAATTTGGGGCCTCGGTAGCCAAGTGGTCAAAATACTGTAGCACTTACCAGTCAATACTGAGGTTGTGATTTCGAATCCCACACGTGACAGGTGACCTCGACTCCAATCTTAATTGACTAGGATTGTCAGGCTACCAGGTCAGTGGATCTCTCTGGACACTCCAGCTTCCTCCTACAATAATTACTGACCCTCACAAATACATGTACCACAATATTTATGATAGTGGCGTTTAACACCAATCAACCAATCAATCAAATTTAATTGTTAATAACATATACACAGATCTGTTCTTATAAGAAAAACCGCTGTTTTTTTTAAATGAAATGCAAGTTAATCACCTCCATAATTTTTCTCTCTCTAAAGTGACCTACATTTGTTAATTATTGTGTCATTTGGTCTCTTGTCATTGATAATCGTACCACATCTACTTATTTGTATATCAGAAAAAAAAGCATTTCAATTTATGATTGCGGTCTTGATGAAATATCAAAATGATTTGTCATTGTGCAAATTTAACAAGACAAGATGTGTTGACAAGCATTTAAATGTATGTTTTACCTGTTTGTTTAACTCTTTATTTTGTACATGTTCGAAAATGTACATCTAGAAACCAATAACCAAACGACATTAAAAATCAAAATTGATAATGGCCTATTAGAGGGATATGCATATTTTTGTATTGAGTTGTATATTTTGTAAAACACAGTTGTTTTCAATAACAGGACATTTTAGAAGAATTGAGGAAGTATGGCCATGAGTTGAAGATAACAGATACTTTAATGTCGGTTGTCAAGCTATATCGAGAAACATGCACACACGGGCGATAAATGGCTTTTCCGATGAAAGAAAATTTCAAGGGAAAGCAATGTTGTACACTACGGAAGAAGATGTCTTTATGTGATATTGGTCGCATTTCACTTGAAATGCAAAATGTGAAAAACAATATTTTAAAGTAGTGATAATCTTTTGTCCCAGAACTATCCAGGAACTGTTGTTGAATTCAGGGACGTTAAATGATGGTGCCATGAGTTAAGTTTGTAATGAAATTGCATTATTTGAATAAAAGTTGTTGGAATTTGTCACAGTTGATGTTAAAATTTACAGGAACTTGAAAAGTAAAAAAAGTTAATTCTATTTCTGTTCTTCCCCTTTCGGATCAACTGATACCATTCCCGTTTCTTATGTTTATGCACATTGTTAACCGAAACGAGACAAAACCAAAGCGCTTTAAAAAACCTAAAGCTATGTCGAGCATTGGTTAGTTATAAAACCAGGTTTAATCCTCCATTTTCTACATGTACCAAGTCAAGGATATGTAAATTTGTTTTCCATTTGTTTGATGTGTTAGAGCATTTGATTTTGCCATATAATAAGGAACTTTCTGTTTTGAATTTTCCTTGGAGTTCGGTATTTTTGTAACTTACTTTTTACAGTAGATAACACATTTTGAATAGAAATACAATTCACGTTCTTTATGTTAATATAGATTATAGTATATGAATTGTTCTCTAGCAACTCTTTCTCATAATAGTAATTTTAAGACCACGTTTATATGATACTGTAAATGCAGAACTTTGCCGTGTTTGTTAAGTGTTGTGAATTGTTAAACAGTCTGATATCGATTAATGCTGTATCGTTTTGATGCAAAAAAATAACCAATAATTCGTCATATTCTGAAAAATTAATTCGAAAGTCTTTCAATCATTTAATCGGAATGATTGATAAAAATTACGATTACATGTTGAGCAGGATCTGATTACCCTTCTTGAGCACATGAGATCACTCCGGGTATTCGCTGGACTTTGTGTTGGTCAGTCTATAGTTTTATATGTTGTCTTTTGTCTAATGTTGTTTGCTTTTTCGTCGTTTTTGGAAGTTGTCATTCTATTTTCGACTTATGAGTTTGAATGTCCCTTTGGTATCTTTCGCCTCTCTTTTTTAGTCATACGATTTCGAAATAAATAGTATAAAGTAAATTAAAGGAATATTATTAGGTAAAGCGATTTCAAGCATCAGACTGTTCACCTGCATGTGCAAATGAAATTTATTTATGTCACCACTGACACCAAGATTAGTTTGGTCTGAGTTTTAAAAAACCTAGCTATGGAAAGTATAATATATGATTTATATGCACGACGATTGTTAGTGTGTTCATTTTAAAACATAATACAACGGAACTGGATTACATAGATTTACTTAATAAAGAATTGATGAAAACAAGTTGTTTTATCCAATTAGCACATACTTGGAATATGTTTCTCATTGCCATATAAGCGGGAGGTTTTGCTAGCCAAAAAACCAGGTTCAATCCACCATTTTTTCTTAAAATGGCCTGTACCAAGTCAGGAATATGACAGTTGTTAACACATAGTCCGTTTCTTTGTATGTTGGCGTTTGTTTTTGTGACAGTTCAATGTTTCTGTTGTTCCGTTTTGTTTCCTGTTATACATGTAGTTGATGTGTTTCACTCAGTTTTTGGTGTGTGACCCGGATTTGCTTTAGTTAAATCGATTTATAACTATTGAACAGCGGTATGGGACATTCAAACTCATATGTCGAAAATAAACAGACAACGCCATGGCTAAAAAAGAAAAGACCACCAGACAAACAACAGTACACAAAACACAGCACAGAAAACTTATGACAGCACACGAACCCCACAAAAAAACTGGGGGTGATCTCAGGTGCTGCTGAAGGGGATGCAGATCCTGCTCAACATGGGGCACCTGTCGTGTGCTCATGTTAGTACAAACCCGGTAATAAGTCTAATTCGGTAGGTCACATTCGAGAAAAGGGTACGGGATTATAGTTACGACATTAGGAACATATCCGTTATCATCTGTGGAAAGGATATGCTTTTACGGTCAACCAACTCGTGATGGCGTCCGTAAAACCTACGAAGGGATGACTTCAACTTCACTACTTGGAAATTTTGGTTTAATAGCTTCATTGTTAGTGGCAACCCTCCATCAAGGAAATCATGATAGGAATTACAAGCCCTGGATTATCGTATCACAGCTATCATCTGTGAAACGGATATTCCATAACGGTCAACCAACTCGTCATGGAGTCCGTAAAATTTACCATGCTTACGAAGGAAAGAATTCAACCTCACCATTTGGAACTCTTTGTTTAATAGCATACTTTTGAGCAGTAACCCCCTATCAAGGAAATCATGATAGGAAATACAAGCCCTGGAATATCGTATTAACTGGGAGATATATACTTTTATCTTACCTCCTGTATATTTCAAGGAATATGATTGGTTAAAAGCAACCGATTGGAGACCGTGTATATTTCAATACACTCTTAGTAGTGGTGTAACGTCCCTTTATAAAAACAACCCGTTGTTGAGAAAAATCTGAAAGGTTTCAACAGACGAAGAAATTGATGTTGAACGATTGAAATAAATTCATAAAACACATTTAAAGCTAATAAGCTGTTATTGTTGGCATTTCTTTTTGTAAAGACAAATGGAGGTAGGTTCTTAATACTATGTATTGAAGACTTAAAGACTTATATAGGCCACTAGACTAAATACCACATGTTAAGATAGTCGGTAAGATAATTTCGTTGCACATTATTCTAGTGACCTAATACGGTATATATAGAGCCTCGCTCTCACTCCATATGGAATTTACTGACCCCATACATATCGTATTAGGTCACTAGCAACTAATAATATACTCCGTATGCAGCTGATTAACATCTGTGACTAACAACAGTGGATATGGTATGGTAGTCAATTCCCATTTTGCATGATGCACCACCGATAATTTGTTGTCGTTGGTAATATGGTGTTAATATCACTTTTTGAAAATATGTTAAATACTTCTACCTTCAGGGACGTATTAGTAGATGATGGATCTGCTGTCGATGCTACTATTGCTACTCTGTTATGTTACGCTGTCATGGCACCTCATATCATGGAGATAGATGGAGGTGTGTTATGATTTTTCGATTACAAAATGAATATCAGTGTTTAAAAATCAACTAAAGTGTAAGACAAATCAATCATTAGTTTTTACGAAAATACTAAAGATCTGTATTTAACAAAAATATCCTAAAACACAGATGGACAAAACAATACCATAAACTTGATAAAGTAATGCATGTTTTATTTTGGAATGTATGTATATCAAGTTGTACCTAACATTATATATGTCAAGGACATACTTGAAATACTTTGTTCAGTATAAATTCTTTTTAGAGGAATTTCTTTATGCAGTTGAAAATTGTTCGACGTGCCTTTGTTAAATTTACTTGAAAATTAACGCTTGTACCTTTAGAATTGGAAATGGAAGTAAAGGAAACACTCTACCTTTACCTTCAACTACGTAATTTCATTTTCTTTGTTAGTCTCAGTGGACGCCGCGATTCTATCATAGATCTTCAAGTAATTACCAAAAAGTAATACCATATACAAGACTTGCCTTTAAAAGCATTATCCTTTATTTTCCTTGGAAAAGCATTTCAACTATATTGGGATAAAGATGCCGCTAAATAAAGGCAACAGTAGTATACCGCTGTTCAAAAACTCATAAATCGATAGAGATAAAAACAAATCCGGGTTACAAACTAAAACTGAGGAAAACTAAGTAAGCGTTGTATCAGGCTTTGAAACTAAATTCTATTAATATGAACGAACTCCTTTTCAACAGACTTTTGTTACTTTCGTTACTTAATTATGACTCATTTCTTGAATGTTACTAAGGTATGTTTAAAAATATAAACAAAAAACTACACTTTTTTTTAAATACGTTTTGAAAGTGAAAAATTAATCATCTGATTGTAAACAATTACTTGCAAATGTGCCGTTAACTGTACATCACTTAAAGATGAGAATCAGGAACTTTTGATCACGTAAAATATTGTTTAGAAGCTGATATGCAGACATATGAGTTGGTAACCTTGTGGAGAGAAAAAGGAAGATGGTCTTTACCAGTCTGATCAAATTAAACCTCTCAGCGCTTCTGTTTTCTGATATGTCGCGTAAACGATACCAAGTGAGAGGTTTGATTCTCATCAGACTGAGCTTTTATCATCGATAAAACAACAAGTGAACTTATCTCTGATTTCTGTTTTGCCGACATAACGATGGATGCCAATAGTGGAGCAGGTTTAACTAAACATGATTTGCAAAATTAATGACATGTTCACATGATCAATACTTTTTTTTAAATTCAAAATTAATTTAGATAGAATAATTTTAAAATTTGAATCCATTGAAAAATATCAATGTATGCCAGTGTGTAGTTATCTATCGAATCTATAAGGTTGTGTACATTGTGTCATTAAGTGAACCATTACACAACCTACCGACTTTTTGTATTATGGATACTTAAAAGGATTCATAACGCACACAATCCGTAAGTAGATAAGACTACCTATGAATTGGTTATCACATACCTGATATATTGTCAGAAACAATCATATATCAAATTTACCACATTTGTGTAGGACGGTTAAAACTAAACATTGAAGGTAATTATTTAGTTAAAGGACATATTTTTACTTTGATACAATATTTTTTGGACCATTAAGCCATTGACTGAAATATTAATATATTGTGACATTGCATTTTTCTGACATATGTTTCTCCACATTATTATTATTATATAGATAACAACAATATATATAATACATATATAATCAAGACACTCCAATTGATACATATAATTATGTATGTTCAATTTAACAACGTTGTAACTTATTTGGTAGTATCGTGTAATTTTCTTCTGCACACCCAGATTATAAGTCGATTACAAGTCTCAAGAATAATCCCTCTATACTTTTGCTCGATTTTAAATTTAAGGAAGCAACATACCTTAAACATTTGAAAGCATCTAAACCAATAAAGGACAAAGCCATACGTGTCGTATCCAACTCCATAGTTTACTAATTTTTATTTCGTAATTTATTTGCTGTTTAGGCGTTACACACCAACAATGATATTTGCCAAGGTAGAACAGTCTATAATGTGTCTAAATACTATGCTGAATTTGAGATTAACTTGTATTTTCGTGCTTTAAATATTTAAATATCAATATGTTTGTTACATTGATTGGTCTTTTGAAATGAAATTGTATACCAAATAATAAGCTTGTGACGTTCAAGATCCAATAATAACATTCTTGAGATGTTTTAAAAATGATCTTTACAATGAATGTGAATAGAAAAAAACAAGTAAACGTAAATTTAAACATGTGAAAGTATGATGCCCTTTCAAGATAATCTACAGAGCAATGTTCTAAATTTTTAGAATTATGTAAAATATAAGATATACACATATTAAACTGTTTGAAATGTAAACCTCATTGTGACTAATGTAACCTTACAGTAAATACATTAACAGATTAACGGTTCCAATTGTACTGCACCAGTTGCGCATTTCGATAATAAATGTCTCTTTGGTGAAGTTCAAGGCCGTAATATTTAAAAATTAAAAAAACTCATTGAAAATATGTATGCTTATGTTATGTTGTTTTTTTTTTCCAGATGATAATTTTTTTTCAAACTGCAGCATAGATATAGTTTAAAGAGATAAAATCGATATTTCAGATACATATAACGCGTACAAACGTTTCAATCCCCAAACCGTGTCCATTTCGTTGAAACTTTCCAATTCGCTCAAATGTATCATCGAAAATCACTAATCGGCCATCAGTTTCAAATTTCACATTTCAAGAATGGGTCTGTTTTTTTTTTCTCTGCTCAAACGTACATATGTTTAGTTAAAAACGTTTATGACGTCCCTGACGTGAAATGCTATTTTTCGCAACGTAAAAATGTGATATATTAGAAGATGCTTTATTCAACTCAGTTTTTTCATTATCATTTGGCCTAATTGTATTACAAACTATAAAAACAAATTCTTGAAAACAAATAACAGAAACATGTGATATGAATAGATAAATTTAAAGCAAACATTTTCGTTTTTTTCTAAAATCACGACAATTAAACAACACTTTATCATTTCTAAATAATATTCTCACAAATTTAGAGCATATGTATATGTAAAGACAATAGTACAAATGCTTTTACAAAAATCCTTTTCTGTACCCTCTGAAACATAACTTAAGCATGCATTTCAAATGGATAGAAATCTCCCAGAAACTGAAGTTTTGAGTAAGTATCTAAAATTTCGACAATATTTATCGCTGAAAAAAAGCACATGAAAATATTTTATGGTATCCTAGATAAAATGTCACGTCGTTAAATTTCAGGGATTGTCAGAAAAGTCATAGACAGGATAATAAAAAAAAAAATTCAATTATAACTTAAGGGAATCCGGACTCATTGAAAATCTTAACGTAAGCCAAAGACAATGCTTTACAAAAGAAGAAGTAACAGCCTTAGTTTTAAAAACATACTAATTGTATTCAATGTTCATTTGTATTCGTCCCTGAATATGCCTGACATTTTGCCACTAGATATAATGCAAGCAACTATTATACAATGTATCAACTACTATCTCATTTTGTATTTTTTCAATAATTCCAATATAATGACAAAAAATACTTGTCTATGAACTTTATTCTTATTTCATAATCGGTTATTTGAATAGTTTAAAGTATTGTCATCATAATTGTTGTTACTTATATTTCCATGCTTATATTAAATAATATGAATTAGGTTTGCACACCCTGATGATCCCTCTTAGGTTTAAGTATATTACGAACGATCACATTATCTGCGTACGTTAATTGACGATAAAATAATCTGGTACAACCCTTAGGTTGAATTACTGTAAATTTACATATGCATGCATTAACTACCCGTTAATTTTGTAAAACCTTGAACGAAAAACGATAGGCCTTAGAGAATTTTGACGAAACCACGATACAATTTTAATATATTTGACACAAAAGATAGCAAAATACAAAAATCTAACATTTTTCTACCCTCTTGTGATAACAAATCACTTTTCATAGATTGAGGTGGACACGTTTCTGCATTTAAAAAAATATGGCTATAAAAAGGATACGTTTCGGCCTCCTACACACGCTTACAAGTTTGGGCAAACAGAAAAGATATATGGACACGTTTGTAGGATTAGATACGTTTGGGGAAAGGACAACATTTAAGAGTAAACCAAAAAGAGAGGCGAAAATTACCAGAGGGACATTCAAACTCATATGTCAAAGGATATACAATGATGCTATCGATAATACTCATAATACTGATAGAGTATATATAATTTTCTGTTGAGTAAAATGTTATCTCTGGCGTATCTAATTAAATTCTATAAATATTCCTTCTATGTTGCTTTTGATTTTATTACATAAACCAAAAAGAGAGGCGAAAAATACCAGAGGGACATTCAAACTCATATGTCAAAGGATATACAATGATGCTATCGATAATACTCATAATACTGATAGAGTATATATAATTTTCTGTTGAGTAAAATGTTATCTCTGGCGTATCTGATTAAATTGTATAAATATTCCTTCTATGTTGCTTTTGATTTTATTACAGATGACTTCTCAAAATAGTTAGCTCTGTACCAATATATGTGTCAAAGAATAGTGGGATCAGAAAATTATGTTAGGACAATACGAATGATGAACACTGTTAGGGACAATTTAGTAATCAATGATTTATCCGTTCCTATTACCGGAGGAAGTTTTGGAGAGGGACTTGATTTACGTATGGGTGACATTGATATCGCACATGCGCACAAATATATCGATGTTTTTGAAGATCGGAAATTCGCTTTTGATTATCGCAAAACATATTTGAAAATGGAAAGTAAGACGATACAAGCAGGCTACACTATGTTACATTGTATTTTTATTAACAATAACAACGCATTTCAAAGCTGTAAGAAGATAAATGGGAAATATTACTTTTCAAACGCATTATTAAAACAAAGGTTTTTAGTCGATCAAAACATGCTTACCGTTATTCGTGGACCTTGCCTTTCAAATGAACAGGGAGACTATGACTTTGCACAACCATTGCATAGTAAATTATGGATATCTGCTGCACAAAACTGGAAAACAAGATAACAAAACGAATGGCCAAGTTATGAAGTCAAGCAGAGTATTGTATTTTTTTTTTTTATTTTACTTCATTGATATATTTCGGAGTTTAGTATGACGTCCATTATCAGTGAACTAGTACACATTTTTATTTAGGGACCAGCTGAAGCACGCCTCTGTGTGCGGGATTTTCTCGCTGTGTTGAAGATTCACTGGTGGCTGTTTTCTGCTCTTTGTTCGGGTTGTTGTCTCTTTGACACATTCCCCATTTACATTCTCAATTTTATTTTTATGTATTGTATTGTTCGTTCCAGTAGGCTATAAATGATCTCCAAACGGAAAACTTCAATAGAGGATATCCTTCAATGTGGGTGAAAAACTATTAATTTATACCTTTACTCATTCACAACTGCTGTGCTATTGTGTTATGAAAATTCTTCTGAAAGACGTCATTAATGAAAACATAGATGTTAAGTATCGTGAATATCTCTGTTCTTACTACCTTAAAACCATAATGTTCTGGGTATCTGAAGGAAGTCCCTACATCAGTATTGAAACCTGGAAATCTGTTACCTTGCTTTATAAGATGCTTTAAGAGATTGATTTATTTCAGTCGAATTTTCCGTTTGCCCGCATTATTTTATTCCAAAAAGCAATTTGTTTGCGAATAGAATCATAGGTTGTGCACGTAAGGTTTTGTTAGAAAGACTTTGTTCATTATATAAATCTGGATGGCGATGTTTTAAATTTTCGACACACTTTTTCTCCCGCTAGTCCGAACATTTTATACTGAGCCTTGTGTGAAATATTAAGAAAGAATTAAATTAAGGTGGTACATAACACTATAGGGAGATAACTCTGTAAAACTCAGCTGAACTTTTTAATCACGTTTAATTGTTAAAGAAATATTAAGCTTCTCAATGATCAAAAGCATGGTTTTTCAAACTTCTATATATCAAATGAAATGTTTCCGATAGAGTGTAAGGTTGAATATTTTTGAAATATTTATATATTTTATATGTAGTAAATATTTTGTCGAAATTTTATGAAAAGTGAACGAGCCAAGTTAATTTCATTCAAGGTGTTTGGTACTAACGTTTAACTTCGTATCAACACACGATTGAAATGTCAATAGCAGTTTATTACGGCCTTCAAAATGACAAAATCCCATGACATGATAGAATGTGAAATGATTCAGACAAAAATCACCTAATGGCTTATTTAGGACAAAACACTAAATGAAACACAATTATTACAAACAAAAACAAATGGCAATCTGTGAATTACATTCAGGCAATATATAATATATGGAGGGGCAGACACATGCTTGTGATCGCTTTAATCACCTCTCACTTGGCATAGCGGCACAGTTACAGAAGCATGGGTTTCTTTTTGATCGAGTTAATTAATTTTGATAAATAGTTTATGGTGTGTCTTTTTATGTTGTAATGTCACATACTGTATCAGGTTAGGGTGAATATTCAATCCGCTGCATTTTTATTCACCTGTCATAAGTCAGGAAGGAGCCTGTTGTTCAGTGGTTGTCGTTTGTTGGTGTGATTCATAAGTTTATCTCGTTTCTCGTTTTTTATATAGATTAGACCGTTGGTTTTCCTGTTTGAATTACACTGTCTAGTCATTTTGGGGCCCTTCATAGCTTGCTATTCGGTGCAAGCTAATGCTCCGTGTTGATCGCCGTACTTGTATATTCAGTAAATTAATTTGCAACGCCGATTATCTCAAGATTCATTATATCAAATCAGAAATCTTCAGTTCGGTAAGATTGTTTGAAGTGTAGTGCATAGGTATTAAAAGCACCATTAAATGCACATTATTTAGCGGAAACCAGTATGTTTGATTCCCTATGATTTACTCAAACAACTGTAAATCAACTGTGTCCAACAGGATCTCGTTCAATATTAGATTGTGAGAAGGATTAAAAGGTACGTTTGAAAAGAACAAGTGAAGAAGTTCTATATAATCGAAAAAAAAATGCTTATCAAAATTATTGGCCTGTTATTACTTTGACAAGAACAACTGATATATATATATATATATTACTAAAAAGACCATGTTAATTATTCGTAATGCCTTTCCGTTTATTTTACTGTAAACAATATGTGTTATATATTTATCTATACATAAAAGTCTCACTATAAAGCCAGATATACCGCGAAAAAACATGATATAATTTAACATGAAACATATATTTTCGTATAAACGTACATATTTAGCCTGATAATAAAGTGTGGTTATCATTATTTTCTTGATTTATGCTTTTACAAAATTGATTATATTGTTTTCTAATTCGTAACGTTAAAATAGATGAACACGGTAGAATCTTAAAATGTAGTTTATGAGTGACCGTTGTTTCCACTTCCTTTATCATATCGCAAACCACGCTTGCCCTGTGTTTTATATTATATCCAAAATTTTATTGCATATTAACAAATAAGACTTAAATCATAATTCAGTCATTATTTAGTTTTATCAAATAAAAGTTATAATCTTTAGTCTTCAAGAAGAACTTTTTGTCGTTTTTCTTTTTTTGCAATGGTATTGGCATTTTATGTTTGACTTGTGAGTTTAAATATCCTTATATTAACATCCCCCGCTCTTGTACGAAACAAGAATGTAACACCAAAAAATATAAACACACTTCTCATTAGCGCATGCTTAGTTTTCACTATAACTACATAGATATAAGAAGATGTGGTATGAGTGCCAATGAGACAACTCTCCATCCAAGTCAAAATTTATAAAAGTAAACCATTATAGGTCACAGTACGGTCTTCAACACGGAGCCTTGGCTAATACCGAACAGTAAGCTATAAAGGGCCCCAAAAAATTACTTGTGTAAAACCATTCAAACGGGAAAACCAACGGTCTAATCTATATAAAAAACGAGAAACGAGAAACACTTATGAACCACATCAACAAACGACAACTACTGAACATCAGATTCCTGACTTAGGACATCTATTTTAGCTAAATACACGAGGTCCTGGTGCATTGGAATGGCCATACTTTTACTCATTTTTTATATTGTTGTCAGCAACATAAAATGCAATGGAAAACAAAAGGTTGTTATCCTGCGTGGTCTTCACTTGGAAGTTTTGAGAAATATTCTATAGAATAAGTTAACATGGTTAAAGAACAATTAAACAAAGCAACATTATTATAACTTAATTAATTTTTTTTGGTGGGTTAAACCATATTACACCCATTTTGTGTGCATAATACGCGTTTCTGAAAATTGCACTGGATCGAATGTGGATGCCATGGAGTCCACAGTATTGTCAACAATTTTGTATAACGACATTAATCAAAATTATTTTATTAGAAAACGAGGTCACTATAGTCATATTGTATTTAAACGCAAGTACTTGGCTGCAAAGCGGATTTAACCAGTGAAGTATAACGTACGTATATCTCGGTGTTCACAGATTATCAATATCAGTAAAAATATATGTGCGATAACAGAGATTCAGACCTAATAATTGTACCTGTTGGAGGACAACCAAATGCTATTGGTTTGTAATTACTTGCTTATAAATCACTTTTCATGTTGAAGATTTGTGTAATATAAAGAAGCTTATCGCAAATCGTAACACACATCTATACTATCAAATTTGTATACTGAAATTTTGTAGCTGGTTTGTCTGAAGTATTATATCAAAATAAAAAGTTTGTGTACAAAATGTACGTAATATACTTTATAACTTCATATAGTAATTGCTTTAATTACAGTAGCTTAATTAAATAAACCAAAAATGTTGTCTTCTTTTCTGATTTCCGCTTTAGGAGCACCTGTGTCACACAGAAACAGAAGATACCAAATGGACATTCAAACTCCTTATTGAAGAAAAACTGACAAACGATCAAAATCATGCATACAAACTATTCTTTTTTGTTGTAAAAACCATGCATCAGTGCACAAAAAACAGTCTGAGAAACACGAACCAAACTTAACGATGTAGGGCTGTGCTGTGTATAACCATAAACATTTCAAGTATCCTTTAAACCTCGCTGGCATGGGTTTCTTCTAGTATATATACATATATTTATGTACAATTTTTTTCTAATTGTAACTGTTAGCTGATGAATTCATTGTCATTTTGAAATATCATTAATACATGTAAGTTAATTTGTGAAAAGTGAATGTCAGCAATAGGAAAACACTGATAAACCAGCATTAACACAATTGTTTATGTCTGCATGCAATCCTGGTAAGATATTTTTGTATGTTGAATATAGTTATTTATTTTGGAGGTTCCTTTATAGGTATACAGGTATAAGGATGCAGTGTAGAAATCGCCCTGTCTGTCAATTGTTTTGAAAATGCAACTTCTTTTTAACCTGTGAATGGACTTCAATGAAACTTCACACAATGATAGCCCACCATATGAATATGTAATTTGCATAAGACTGATAATAAAACTAATATTATACTAATGTATTATGTCCTAAGTTTGCAGATGGCAAGCCTGACAAAATACCCACATATTTTTACACTTTTGTACCACTAATTTTCAGTTTTCGACATTTGTTTTTCGTCATACTTGTCGATGACATTAATTTGATATTTGTTATATAGTTATAACATGACAAGTTAAAGATCATGTACTAGAATTACTTCCATCCATGACAGCCACTATTCAAATCATGGGTACTTTATATAGAAGTAGTAATCGCTTCAATTTTCCATCCTGTCAACTGTTAATAGACATAGTTCTACAAATTTAAACAGTTAAACCCCTTTTATTTCATTTAGGTTATAAGACTAATACCTGTATGGTTCTTGACCAAGCAAAAGAGATGCACCTTGAAATGAAGAAATTTCTGGAACAGTATACATCTAACTCCAAGTCACTACTAAAAATTGGTGAACATATTCTTAGGGTGAATGAATATAAAGATTTTACAATGGGCATTACAGAGGAATTGAGAGATGAACTAACCAACTACATTAGCACTTTTAAAGAAGTTCACCTGTCTGTTCCAGATATTCAATCAATGGTCCATGATACTATTGTATTCATTCTGCAAAATTTTAATAATACAGGTACAGACATTTTGAACTTTAGTCTATTATACAAATTGCAGTTAAATATTTAGAATACATGTTCTTTATTAATATTCAGAAACTGCTTTTTTTCTATGTGTAGCTCAACAGGATAACTTGATTCAGTCGTTGGATGAAATGCCAGATGTTAGAACTCAAACAGATGATTTTAATAAAGGTATTCTTGTTTTGTGTCATTTTGTTATAAAGACCATTTAACCACCACAATTCTTGTTTTTTCATGGCATTTGATGATTTCAGATGAATTTCTTAAAAGGGCACTAGCTGTCAAATTCATGATCACCGATTTGACTTAAACTCTTATACTATAATTGGAATTTTCTAAAGTGTCAAAAGTAATCATATTGTGCTTTTGTCAGGAAAATAAATGAAATCATCAATAATTCTGAGAGTATTTCTTGTGCAATACAGTATCCCCTACTGGCTGTTAAAAATAAATATTTTTTGCAATCTTTATATTTCAAGGGCAATAACTCTCACAAAGGACGATGTATGATAAGTGCAGTATTTGGCCCCTTTGTATGCAAAAAAATTTAAGAACAATATCTGGGGCAAAAATGACCATAAAACCTTATTGAAGTTTTGTATTTTGTTGAAATAAACTTAGTTTTCAAGGTTATGCAGGATATCGATTATAATTGATACTATGAATACACCATAAACGGGTGTCTATACGGAAAATCGGACTTTCCGACTCTACTTTGGATGATTTAAATATGAGCGCAAGTGAGAACATGTAAGATATTTTACATATGGTATGTATGATATAGTTTTGACATTATATACAAATTTCATAGATGTTCTCAACTGCGCTCATAGCAAAATCTTTAAAAAATATCATGTATAGTCGTTGATTTTTGCGTGCGGTTTATCTTAGTCTGACAACTTCCGGTTTCAGTTGCCAGGGAAGCTGGATATCATCAGAGTCAACAAACTATGCTGCTGTAATAATGTATGAATATAGAATGGTAAATGTGATACTTATTCATGCAAAAACAGAGATATATCATAAATCTCATGTGGGATAGTGCACGGGTTCCTTAAATAGTTCCAAGAAAAAAACAAAAGAAATCATTAAATAAATTCACGAAAAAGAGCAGACGTCATATGTTAGCTCTCTATTTCAAAGCATAAATTATGATAAAGTGATAAATGTGAGAGTTGTTTGTCAAAAAACTGATATATATATATTACAAACATTACGTGAGATAATGTATATGTTCCATAAATACTTCCAAACCAAAGAAGTCTAAATTCACAAAAACACGGGGTCACCGCCGACGGCGCCGTTCATGCTCAGAGCAGACGTCATACTTGTAATTCTCTATTTGAAAGCAAAAATATATTGCCCTTTCAGATCAATTATTTTCCGAATATAGATGTGGTTTATGCAATTGGACATCCAGATGGTCAATAATTGGGTTTGAAAAAAAACAATTTGTATTTTTGTACGGAATGCTAAAAATGATTATCTCCCCTCGCGATTAGTATAAAAGTAATTTTTATAAAATTCTCCTTTCAAGTATTTGTTAAAAATATATTAACACAACCATAAAATCATTTCATATAGTATTATTGAATATATATCAGAAGATAAAAAGAAGAAAATGCAAATTTAATAAAATTTTGCAACAACAAATAACAAATTATGTTAATATTGTAAACCTATTGACTTGGAAGAAGGTAAATGTATGACTTTATATACCCATTTAAAATTCTTAGTTCGCCCAATTTTGAGCATTGTATTGTTGGGAAAATATTCCAGAAGAACAAATAATTGTCAAAACTGTGCTTGAATTCTTGAAATGACAATATCTCAATGTAACATACATAGAAAAATGCTAGGTTAACTGAATCTAATAAATAAAATTGAAAAAAAAATCATCAAAGATCATTCAGGTTGACAAATTGTTCCCAGAATGTTGCAAATAAAAATACTTACCAATGTTTCTCAAATCAAAACGGTTGGGAGTTGGCCTCCCAATTAAAATTTTGAAGAGACTAAAAACCAAAAATTCGATATTTGGGTGAAAATGAATTAATTAAACGTGTGGTTTTTAGGTATGTAAAAAAGCAAGTTTCCTTTTATTTAGGTTCACTTCCTTTCATTGGTTTCCTTAACCCTGTTTGAAATATTCAAGATTATTTTAAGAAATAAATCCCTTGCTGTTTTTGATTTTCATAAATATTTAACATATTTTGTAGAGCCTGTAGATTGTCTCCAAAAAGTTTTGAATGTGAATTTATATGCCTGATGTACAACAAATACGCCATGAAATGAATTAAAGATGAATTGTAACCGTAAGTATTTGCTATTCCAAATTTTTGTTCAGTTTGATACTATATCAAAACTTGCAAATACAAATTAGTTTAACATGTGTGGTTCTCTGATATGAAAAAAAAAGTTTCTTTTATTTAGGTTCACTTTCTTTCATTGGTTTCCTTCATGTAGGAAATATGCAAATGTTAAAGTCATTTAAGATTATTTCAATAAATAAATCCCTTGCTGCACTTGATTTTCATCAATATTTTATTTAATTTATTTTGTAGATTGCCTCCTAAAAGGTTTGAATATGTATTAATATGCCATGTACAACAAATAAGCCATGGAATGAACTAAGAAATGAATTAAGGATGAATTGTAACAGTAAGTATTTGCTAATTTTTGATGAGTTTGAGACTATACTAAAACTTGCAAAAGTACATGTTACACATCATAGCAATCTAAAGCACCTATTATGTATACATTATGTGGACAGAGGCAGTGGGGTCATCATTTGATGGTGTTGAGTCTGGTGTTGAAGATTTCAAACAGGATATCTTAGTCAGACCTTTATTGAAGTGATAAGAAACTTTAACCTTTTTAATAATAAAAAAACCCAGCTAGTACAACAAAATGTATATAAAGCAAAAGTTAAAAAATATTTGTGTTTTCCATAGTTTTTAAAGATAGCTAATATGGAATTGCAACCCCTCTTGAACCCACCCCCCCACTTTTAAAATATGGGAGTCCTGTAACCTAATACATGTACCCTGTCCAGGACTTTGCAGAAAATTGGTGCCAAGAGAAATCACCTCAAAATAAGAGCTGATCTGGCAGTAAAAAATGGGGGAAAAAGGGGGGGGGGGGTTGGCTCAGAACCCTCTACCCACCCCTGAGTGCCTATGCATTATTATTAAATATTAAACATGCTGCATTCATAATAAAAAAATTGAAAATATATATCCTGTAAATAAACGCAAATTGTTAGAAATTTTTTCTTATAGAAAGATCAAAACCGCTTATTTATATAAATTACATAGATAGTAAGTAACATCATGTACTTTCATATGTCAATTACAACATTTATTTATTTCTTAGTTCATTACTTTTGCACTCTTACATTTTCCCTCCCTGTTGTAAAATTTTTGTTTTTCAAAATTGTTTCATAATTTTTCTTGTGTTATTTGTAAAAAATAATATTTTTTTTCCTTTTCAGATTTCTCCATAGATACACTGTACCATAAATGTGAATTTTGCTATAACATGTATGAAGAACACCTATGCCTGATGTTGAATAGTAGATAAACAAATGCGTACTTCACAGTAAGTATTTGTTAATTGTTTTTAACAAGAAAATTCAAAAGGAATTTTTCCGATAATAAATATGTCTAAAGCAGTAAAAAGAATGGTGTTTTATATTGACAGTTTTGTATAAAACAACAAATAAATGAAATTGGTTTCAAATGAATATATCCGTTTAGTTCTTGCTCGGATTATTAAATAATTAAACACTATATTTCTCTTCTAATTTTTATACGAGAACGCGGACGACAACGACGACAACGTGACACCAGTATACAACCGCCAAAATTTTTTTGCAGTCGTATATTGGTGTCATGTTGTCGTCGTCGTCCGCGTCGTTCAAAGACACTTTGTTTCCGGACAATAACTTTAGTTGAAGTGAATGGATCTCTATGAAATTTAAATACAAGGTTTGAACCACAAGAGGAAGGTTGGGATTGATTTTGGGGGTTATGGTCCCAACAGATTAGGAATTAAGGGTCTAAAAAGGGGTCCAAAAAAGCATTTTGTTAGTTTCCAGATAATAACTTGTGTGTAAATGTATGGATCTTACTGAAATTGTATCACAAGGTTCCATACCAAAAAAGGAATGTTGGGATTGATTTTGGGGGTTATTGCCCTAACTGTTTAGGAATAAGGGGGCCAAATAGGGGCCAAACACAATACTTTTCTAATACTTTGTATAAATTAATAAATTCTTGACCAATTTTAATGGGGTTTTAATCTTGAATTCTTGGGGTTCTTTAATATGCTGAATCTAACCATATATTAAGTTTTTTTATTTTGGACCCCGTTTTTAAATTGGTCCACATTGAGGTCCAAAGGGTCCAAAATTAAACTTAGTTTGATTTAAACAAAAAAATGAATTCTTGGGGTTTTTTGATATACCGAATATAACCATGTATTTAGATTTTTTATTTTTTGGTCCCATTTTCAAATTGGTCTACATTGAGGTCCAAAGGGTAAAAAATTAAACTCAGTTTGATTTTAACAAAAAAAATGAATTCTTGGGGTTTTTCGATATGCTGAATCTAAACATGTATTTAGATTTTTGATTATGGGCCCAGTTTTTAAGATGGTCCAATTCGGGGTCCAAAATTAAACTTTGTTTTTTTCGATAAAAATTGAATATATGGGGTACTTTGATATGCTGAATCTAAACGTGTATTAAGTTTTATGATTTTTGGGCCCCGTTTTAAATTAGTCCACATTGAGGTCCAAAGGGTAAAAAATTAAACTTTTTTTTTGATTTCATCAAAAATTGAATTATTGGGGTTCTTTGATATGCCGCATCTAATCGTGTTTTTAGATTTTTAATTTTTGTTCCTCTTTTCAAATTGGACTACATTAAGGTCCAAAAGGTCCAATATAAAACTTAGTTTGATTTTAACAAAAATTGAATTCTTGAGTTTTCTGATATGCTGAATCTAAACATGTATTTCGATTTTTGATTATTGGCCCAGTTTTCAAGTTGGTCTAAATCAGGGTCCAAAATCAAACTTTGTTTGATTTCAACAAAAAATGCATATATGGAGATCTTTGATGTGCTGCATCTAACGATGTATTACGTTTTTTGATTTTGGGACCTGTTT